GGTGGCAGAGGGCAGGGGTAGTAGAGGGGACTCGTATAGCATGTTGTAACACCTAGTAGATTGTGTTCCTCAGTACAAAAAACACTGAAGCATATGTTAAGTCACCTTGAAGCCCACTAGCAGGCCATTGTTCAGTTCCATCAACAGTAAATATGGCAGCATCATAGCGGCCATGCTTCCAGTTAGCATCTGGCAGAGATGCACTGACTGTCAGAGCAGGAAGGAGGGCTGACCCGGTGTCATGTGGCATCTGCTGTACACACACTTTGAACCAAATATCAAGGTGCTTGAATGGAAGATTCATGTTTGGTGATGCTCGATGTTGTCCTGTCAACTTGTAGACACAAAGGTTTTGAACAATCTGACCCTCACGTTGAATGTAATTGGCGAGTGCTGCTCGCAAGTCAGGCAAACAGAACTTCTCGGCGACATTGTCGATAGCTTGACATCGTAACGAGGGGTAAAAATTAAGATGTATGGTAGTGGAGCCAGCGATGAACGTGCAGAGTGGTCTGGGTGCTGTGGTGGACGATGAAGCAAGCTGTGCTTTCTTGAAGAAATTCGTTATAACACAGCCTGTCCCCCAGAGATCACTAATGGTAGCCTGTAGATCGTCTGCCTCATCAGCGCCCTTGTCATCATTGATCCCATCATCCAAGTCATCATCTCCATATCCAGTGGTGGCAGTATCCATCTGAGACTGCAATTGCTGTGCAATAGATGTTGCAGTATGAAAATGTTGACATTTTTCGATGTGATCCAGATATTGACATATCTGGGGATCATAGTTCTGGTTATTTGTCAATTCTGCTGGATCCTTGATCAGAGTTATGTGAGCTCATTCTGTGGTGTCAGCCAACCACTGTATGAGAGAACCAACTTGATAGACACTTAGCACAACACTTTGCATCAATTCGAGTTTCGGAATGTACCAGTTGTCAAGGATGTTTTTGCTCTTGGCACCCTGACACCCACCGTGCACAATAATTTGATGTTTGTGATTGTGAAATGTTTTGAGAGCATCAAGGATCTTTTGACATTGGTTTGAACTGATTGTTACTGCTTGTGATAAGTAATGGAAGTCCATTAATGCACGTACAGCAATGACAACGCCCGGAGGTGCGGCATCCACAATTACAGCAACAAGATAATGCTGCATGTCCCGCTGTGCTCTTCCAGTGACTTGCTTGAGCATCAAGATACCCTGTTTGAAATGTCTGAATGTCACGAGTGGTTGTAAGACAGAGAAATGAAAGTCAAGCTCCTCCGTGCCAATGATTCTGATACACCACTGTACATTGTGATCATAGAATTCACGATGCCAATGGTGCAATGCTTCCAGAGTCAGAAACCGAGTTGGATCTGTGAATGGCCAGTTGTGCCAGAACGGATCAACAACACCGCTGAGGTGGTAGGGCTCATAGGCAGCAAAGAAGTCTTCAAAATTTCGAGGGTCGCACATAGATTTGATGCTCTTGAGCTGTGTGAGGGTGGTTTTTGCTGTGCATGGGGGGTGTTGAAAGCCATCACTGAATTGCTTATATGAAGCCATGGTGAGTGGTGAGGTCTTTCCTCAAACACAGGCAAGCATGGCTGCCTCGGGTGTATCCACAATATACGAGGTCAGGGGAGTGAAGCAATATCTAAGGTTTCTGACTGGGTCCGACATCATACACCCAATGTGTGCAGCCTGCTTGAGTGGCTCAAGGACAATGTCAAGACATTGATGGATTAGGTGAGCTTCTAAAACACCTTGCATACGCTTGACTGGATGTACAAACTCAGCAATGGGAAGCAGGGCTGTGAGAAGGAAAGCGTGCGATGATGCCTTATTTCGAACTGCCATCTTAATGTTGGCAAGGCTGATAGGAGGGGGTGAGCAACACATCCACCGGTCATGTTTGTGATATTGGTCTTATCAGAGGAAAGTATTACACCAAGTAACGTAGAACCCTCTGGAAGTTCAGACTGCAATAAAGCAATAGCAATTAGACATATAATCTCACTAAGCGGTAAGGAACAAACCTGCATCATCCAGGCTGTGTCGCCAGTCATCCATTCGTCATATATTCGTACCATGTGCTCCGCCATGGTGTATATGCATTCAGGGATGAAGTCAATATCCTTGGCAAATCTAGGATTGTTGAAGAGCAACTCGATACAGTCCAGTGGATCGCGCCAATACAAGTGCACAGGTAGTTTCATTGGATGTTCGGTGGAAATGATATGATATTGCCACTTGGGGCCAGAAGGTAGAAGCTCAGCACGACCCCGTAGCTCTTTCGCCGTGTGAAAGGAGAGCGGTAAGGCTTTGATCTATCAAAGATTTGAATTCCTACTAAGCTGATCCGGAGTGAGTGAAGGAAAACATACCAGTTCTATCCCTAGGAAATGATCTATGGCTGCCATACTCAATGTCGAGGACAGTAGAAAACTGGCGAGCTCCCATTCCTGAAATGATGCAAATGGGTAATACAAGTTGTCGGTACAATTATCTGCATATACATCATGATTGAACTGCTCCAGGAAAGTCAGGCCCTATGCATGTACCCTTGCAGCACCTTCAAATCATGTAAAATATCTCCCTGCAACTTCACTACCCAGTTCCTCTTCACTGGGGATCGGAAAATCATTCTCCACATTCGCTTCTTCATCGTAGTATACCATATTCGAGTCAGCCCCATCCAAGTTAGGGTTCCAGTTTCACGCTGGCACCAGATCCAAGTCCATTGACAAGCCATGAGGGCTTTGAGTTCTGAGTCTGTCAGAATGAACAGAAGATAGAGATTGCGATGATGACCGATTGGAGTCAAAAGATGCATGTTGGTTCAAAGAGTTGAGTATTTGTGTTGCAGTTGTGAGCTCCACAGTGTGTGGTTGGCATGATACGAGGGGCTGGCTCAAGTGGTGTGTAACACCCAAGGCATTGTTGAACTTCTTTAGACAGTTCAGGCAGTTGTGCATGATGCTAGCTAACATCTAAGTTGATAGTAACAGCATACTACTAGATAGCCAGCGTGCCACTTCAAGTTCACCTTCCTTTTTAGTAGTACTATTTTTAGAGTCTAGCAGCATGAAATGCAAATGGCTGAATATAATAGTAGTAGTACATACGTACAACACAGAGGATGCAACACTGGCATGGACAACAGTTGGTAATGAATATACTACTACTACTACTACTACTACTACTACTACTACTACTACTACTAGTACTGTGATTGTCAATGCTACTATAGTACAGTGAAACCTAAACAAACATCAGTGTGAAACATTGTAAGCCTACCACACAGGCTTGACTTGAAAGATCTACTAGTAAGATAACAACTTATCATAAATACTTCAGATCGTCGCAGAGACTGGCAAAACTCACCTTTCGTTAGGTGGCCCAAGACTTCTTGCTGTTTGTCTTCTTCTTCTTCAAGACATTATTCATCACCTCTTTTGAGACCTTTGGCTTCTTCAATTCACATTCAGTAGTAGAACCACCAGGAAGAGGAGTAGCCAGAGTGACAGTCTGAGATGACCCAGCAGAGACTTGTGTAGTGGGAGCGGTGTAGAGACTGACATCTCTGTGGCCTCGTAGAGGGCTAATTCTCCAACACTCTAATCACCTCCCAAACACAGTGCGACCCATATCTCATTCAGTGCACTTCGTGCTTCATCAGCTGCTCGCACGCAGGCGCTTCGGTCACGCATATATGCACATGCATCTTCGGTTCCGTCGCTCGTCCTCTGTCCATCCATTCCATGTCTGTTCAGTTCGTCGGTGCGTATTCCTATCTTATTCTCATGTATTCTGACATATCTCCGGTGCTTGCGCACATATTCTGTATGTTTCGTCACAGACCCTTATTACATATCATCACGTACTTGCTTCACTTTCCGGCTCGCTTTAGCACTTGACAGCGCTTAATGCTACTTAGAATATATATACTCCTGCCTCTATGTATAATGATTATATTCTTCTTCCCACACATCATTGGACTCTAAGTCTAAATCTCTGTCATATCCGCCGACCGACACTAAGCACCTGAACTTGTACGAGTGCCAGTCCTCATATTCTCAATACAAACATTGCATTATCCGTCTCCTGACTCACTTAAGAGTCGCTGTGCTCCACCACCCGCACGCGCGCCTCGCGTTCACTCAGTGCATGTTACTGCACTTGTCACTCAGTAGCGCTTCATAGCACTTTCACTTATTGCGCTTTTGCTCATTGTCACGCGCTTCACCAGGCTTATACGACAGCCCAGTTCAGTGTTTCCCTCCACTATTTTACATAGAGGAACCTTCTCAGTAGCAATCCCCTTGGGCCGACATTAGATTCGTGCACAGAGGACCATCTGAGTATATCTCATACCACCCACTTTTCATCTTTCTACATTCCTCACCTACAACTGGAGCCCACCACGAGAGGATCATCTGAGAAAGTTGGTAGGGTACTCAGGCCTACCAAAGACCATGTAGCAAGAAATAAAGCCTTAGAAGAATGTAGAAGAGCAGTTGCCTCTTCACACTTATCAACCATTCAGGAAATTTTGACTCCGATTGAGTGCAACCGTCCTCGGAACTTCTCAGAGCCCGCATGCCCAGATCTATCTCCATTTTCACCGAATCCATTCGCGCCCGCATCGCCAGTCATGCCTTCGCCCAAGGAATCAGTACACGGTAAATCCTCGGACGTCTTTGAATCACATGACAACCCCTGCAACTTACCGCTGGGCGCATTTGTAGAAACGCCAAGAAATCAATCAGATCCTAACTTTATTCATCTCTCTCCGCTTACCCTGCTAACCGTTTCTAGTGCAACCATCAAAGAAGAACCCTTATCGCAGTCATGTGCGCCCTTATCAATCAAAGTGCCAACTATTAAGAAGGAGGAAACAGAAACCCTTATCGCGCCAAACTCAATTCGGAACCGCACCGCCATATATATCCCTCCAGTTTCTCAAACAGCTCCGACAATAATTATACAACCCACGCCTATCATCAAAAACCCCCAGCCGGCAAAAATGTCAACAACTATTAGAATGCCAACCCGCAGTTCTGTTAAGACCGTGCACAAAGGATAGGACTGATTCCGAAGGGCTTGGCTTCAGCTCATGTGCTGTGCCCCTTACCCGAGTATGTGCCCTTAATTGCAGATGACATCCGGAGGAAGTTCAAGGAAGTCCATAGGACTTCCGAAGGAGCGCGGGAAAGTCCGGAAGGACTGTCCGGATCCGGATGAGTGCGAGAAACTTCCAGAGGGGTGCAGGAAACTTCCGGAAATTACTATGGACAGAGGAGGTAATGAGCAGAGTCTAAGATAATATTCGAACTGAGGAAGTACAAAGATTCTACAGGGTTTATATACTACTGAGGACTTAACGGAGAATCAGTCAGCGCAGTCCGAAGCTATGTGAGGCTGTGGACAGAGCGTATAGAAAAGTCAAACACTAGTCTATTGGAAAATAGTAAATGAAGACGGAAATGAGAACATAGGAAAATAAAGGCAGAAATGAACTGAGGTATGGAAAAATGAGTATAGTCTAACTGGAGAAAAAAACCGTACAAAGGGATAAGGCATGGAAGATAGACACGGGTCAGATCCGGACGATAGATAGAAGTCAGCCGGATCCGGAAATCCGGAAATGATGTGTGTGATAGGTCCGGGTCCAGAACACGGGATATGACAGCTAGAGGGTTTCAGCAGTGTGGCAGGGTCAGGTGCATGGCCTGTAACAAAAGCAGAGGCAGTATTTTGAGGTGATGGTGAAGTACATTCAACACTGAACTCACTGTCTGTGTATGAGTCATCTGACTCCAAGTCAGAGTGTCCCCTCAGGTGCTGTAGTAACACAAATATTAGTTTTTCAAGCCTGAAAAATAGCCATGAAGACGGACCTCCAAGTGGCTCCTTGCAAGCACTACAAATTTTTCCATGCAAAGACAGTACTTTGAATCCTCAGTAAACAGAGGGTACTTGAAGATAGTGTGCTTAATGATGTTTATTGCAGTGATTGCACACAAAAAGGAGTTGAGTTGTTCACCACAAGCCATAGCTGCTTTGTCAAATGGTGCAAATCCATGATTATTCAACCAGCAGCAGACAGCATTGAGATAGGAAATAGGTAAAGACCACCCAAGCGAGTCTCCATATGAAATAATTCTCATATTAGCGTCCACACTAAGAACAGCCCAATGAATGTTGGCAACATTAACAGGGAATATGACACAGTGGATGGTGCCATCACGAAGCAAATCTCCAAGATATCATAGCCAGGAGAATGCTCTGTCAAAATGATACATAGACCACCGTGTATCATCAAGTAGCAAGATACTTGCAAGATCAAGGCTCTCAACAGCACAGGATGATTCACTGTGTTCATCCAAACAACCATTGATAGCCGCAATCAAGGCATCCACAATGTGTCCATTGACCATGGTGTTTGCGAGCAAAGGGGGAAGCTCAGACATGCGAATCCCAGCACAAGCACAAAAGCCCTTCAGAAAAGCCCTTTAGATTGGCATCCCATGACAAGTACCCAAGGATATCTAGAGCCTCATCCATCAGTACCGACCTCGGCAGCATGACGGTCATGCTCATTGTGATCAAGCCTTGCAAGGATCCAATCATGGGACTTGAGCCAGGTGAGACGAGCCTCAAGGACATGGGAAAGGTCTCTCCAGTATGAAAGAACCCATAACGGAAGGTGTATCATTGGGGAATATGGATGAATAACTGAAGCATGGCCATCAAACCAGGCTTGACCAAATTGATCGAGTAGCCGAGTTGCAAGGTGTAGCGGGGGGACTGTCCACATCAGAAAGTCATCAGGGATGTGAGCGTGAGAAAATACATGTCAATAAAGTGATGGAGTTCGAGTTGAGGTTGTGGTCGAGTGCGGCGATGAAATCGATATCAAGCAACTGCGTGACAGATAAGGTTGGCAATGGGATGCTTGACTGAATTGATGTTGGAACAGTCAACAGCTGTTTGATTTCACGTCTAACAGAAGATGGAAGGTGGTTCTGTTTGAAAATGTGACCACATTTAAGCCAATCTGAGGTGACAAATGCATCAGTTTCAAGTTATGGCATGACTGGGAGTGACATTGAAAATTTTGAAGGCGGACTCACAGTTCCAGTAGGTCCTGTCGAGTACCAAAGGATCCGAGTTGATAAACACCGAAGGATCCAAGATAGGAACAGGGGGCAGTGATAGGTCTGAGCACACGCTGAAATGAATGTAGATGAGTGATGCATGATGTCGGCTCATGTCCTGCAATATTTTCAATGTTTCTTTATCCTTCCTTCATGTGGGACTCCAGTGGAATTCAAACTCTGACATGATTGATGACTGGCCAGCATAAGATGAATTCAGAGATGCACTGCCCAAAATCCACAAGCACTGGCACAACTAACACATTTCAATTTCTGCAGCAACAGGGACTGCCTTTGGAAACATTATCCACATCCTGGCCATGTATCTATCATGCTGTGCTCACTCCTCTTGCTTCCTCTCTTTGACCTCACTGCTTAGCTCGGGATCATCTTCACCTATGGCATCCTTCTCGTAATCACTCCCATATTCTCAAGAATGGCAAGCTTATATCTCTATCCGATGCTGATCTGGATCACATCCTAACCATGATGGGACATTCCCTTGCATCGGGGACTCATGAGATTTATGGTTCGGGACTACTAGTATTTCATGTATTTTGTGATGTCCACAGCATCCCAGAGGACCAACAGGGACCTGCCTCATCAGTCTTACTTCTGGCCTTCATCGCAAACTGTGCTGGCATGTACTCTGGAAAGAGTCTTGAAACCTATTTTTATGATGTACATGCATGGCATCTTTTACATGGGTTGGAGTGACTAGCGGACCACCACTTTGGTCACCTCATTTCAGGTACCTCTTAGGTTGCATTATACCTACAGAGGTTTTCACCTAAGGGGTACTTTTCAGGTGGTCTGGCCATGTTTGTGTGGTCTTTCCTTAAGTATATAGGGTCCAAAATGAAATGTATTGAGCACGGTCCAGGGGTCAAAATATTTTTTGCATGGGAAAGACTGCCAGCCAACTTTAGACCACACATACATTGGGAATTTCCCATGGTTCAGGGGTGTCAGGGGTCCTATTATGACCCAAATTTTTGGGCAAAAAACATTGAAAATTGTGGTTTTTTTTGGTCCCCTCACCCACCTCAGGCAGCACTTCTTGGTGATAACAAAGGATCCTGTAGACCTGGTTTCTATATTATGGCGACAGGGCCCGACCTCTCTATGGCCTATTAATATATTTCGTCTTTAATGATCCCCAGTGGTGTGAAAAGGAGGATGAGTGTGCAGGGTTTCTGAGCGGATCTGATAGGCAAATCATCAGGGAAGACTAGGGGCAAGCAAGGTAATATGGGATATGGATATGTATCACCAAGTGACTTGTATGAGGCTAGCCTGAGGGTGATCATCACAGCAAGTTTGGTGCCACCCATAATAGCCTTGTGCTTTATCAATTAGCCTCTAGGTAGCCACACATTCTGCACTATTGGCTCTGAGGAGCCTCAATCTGCCTACCCTTGAACCTGATTGTAGTGTTCTCTCTATATTGTCGCATAATAAGCATACTCTAGATATGTTTGTACTACTACTAACAACCATGATTCCTGGTAAGGCACAACTATCTTGCAAGTCTCAAGTTGTATCTTTTAGCCTTAGCCACCATTTTGTGAGCCCATAAGCCCTATGATAGATGCTACATACTGTATCACACTATATGGTATATATGTAATCTGATATGTGTGTAGTCATGTCTTTTACAATGGTGTGTGCTTTTGCAGGAACAATAGCACCATCTTAAGGCATCTGGCATAACAGTTGAACTTTGAAATAAGACTTATATTTGGAGAAGGGAAAGAGGCAAAATAATGAGCAGATCTGAGGTAGCAGAAAATAAGCTACATAAAGTGTCTTCCATACCTCATATCCAACTCTGAGAAAGAAAAATGTAGAGCTGTGAGGGTAAGATAGTGAGATCAAGCCAATATGCTTGTGAGGTATCAAACACAAGGACATAGAATATACATTGAAACCATTAAGAGAGTCACTGGAGGAAAGCTAACATGCCTGTGAGGTATTAAGCATCAAACACAAGGACATAGAATATACATTAAAATCATTAAGAGAGTCACCGGAGGAAAGCCAACATGCTTGTGAGGTATCGAGTGTCAAACACAGGGACATAGAATATACATTGAAACTATTAAGAGAGTCACTGGGGGAAAGCCAATATGCTTGTGAGGTATTGAACGTCAAACACAAGGACATAGACTATAAATTGAAACCATTAAAAAGCGACTGGAGGAAGGACCACAGAGACATGTGGGAGGGACCATGGTGAATGGGAAATGACTATAGGGAGATATGGGAAGGAGCACAGTAGATGAGAAAGATCATATAGAAATATGGGAAGACCCAAGGTAAATAAGAAAGGATTATAGGGAAGGACCATAGTGAGTGGGAAAGGACCATATGGACATATGGGAAGGACCACATTGAATAAGAAAGGACCATATAAACATGTGGGACAGACCATGGTGGATGGAAAATAGCCATAGGGACATATGGGAAGGACCACAGTGAATAAAAAAGGACTGTAGAGACATGTGGGAAGGACCACGTGGGATGGGAAATGGCCATAGAGACATATGGGAAGGACCATGGTGAATAAAAAAGAACTGTAGAGGCATGTGGGAAGGACTGTGGCAAATAAGCTAGGATCATAGAAGTAGACTCACTGCAACATATACATTTACACAATCATCATCAGTTTGAAGTCATCATTACTTGTAATAAGAAAGCAGTTATAAATTTTTGAACAAAATTGAGAACATACAACTACAATTATGGGTGACATACATGTTAAATAATAATACTATGTAAGAGTGTCAGGGTTACATGCAGCACCTTTTTTTAAGTGAAGATTTGGTAGGTGACGAAGGCATAAAAGTATCCTCAATGTTATGAACAAAGTCCTCATCCTGATACCTGTACTCATCAGCTAATGCAACCTCTTCAATTGCATCCATTAGTTCATCATCTCCAACCTCATAATAAGCCAGATCACCATCCTCGTCACTCTCTTCCTGCTCTCCAACACTCTTGTCATCATCCTTATACTGGAAAAAAGACGGCTGCACCTGGTCTCGAGCAGCTTGAAGTATATCTTCATTTTGAGGACCCCAACTCTCGACTGGCTACACATAAGGGATCTCTTAAACTTTCTTCTTCCAAATGACACAAATGTGAAAAAGTTCATCTGCATGGGCCCACATGTGGAATGACACTACAAGATCATCAGCTGCCAACAAATTAAGTGCAATTCACTGTATACTGAGACTAGACACACCCACATCCCTCAACACAGTTTGCATGGCCTCCCACTCTGCAAACATCCACTCCTGCATGACGGTCTGCTCTTGCATCAAACAAGTTTCTTCTTTAACACACCAATCCACTTCAAGCTGTAAATGAATACCAGACCTAGTGGCCTCATCCGATAACCATGCTGGTGGGTTTATACCATCTTCGTCAAGGCCAATATCTTGCCAGATCTCATCATCGACGTCGGGTAGAAATATGCCCCCGTGTATAATAGGGCAAGGATCTTTGCCTTTGGGTGTAGCACCTTGTGATTGGGTTGTCAATCCGCTGCCAAGGAAGTCATGCCAGAGCTGTGGTGAAGGGTAATTGCATGGTGGGTCGTGATTAACTTGGCCAATCCATAACAGACGACAAGTGAGCCAGGTGGCAATATAACCTTGCAGGCGCTCTGGCAGCTTGGAACCAAGGAGAAGAGCGGGTTCGGGGAATCTGTATCCCCAATCAATCACATAGGGCATATGCACACAAGACAGATCCTTTGTGCAAGTTTTGAGGGCATCATCCCAATGTAAGATAGACGGCAGAAGATATGGGCTTTCAGGGTCTTTCCACTTGTCCCTGGATTTGCCTGACTGGGACGGTTGGGTGGGCCGAGCCTCTCTCGCATCTGATACAGTAGTAAGTAACGTAACCCATTAGAATAGGTTCACCTACAAGGTTGTTGCCTATGCTTTTTCTGACTTTTTTGAGGGGCCTTTCCAGCAGTGGATGGCTGAGAGCATGGCATAGGAGTAGAAGAACTGGGCATAGAGAAACTGCTTGTTGAAGCAGATGAAGCAACCAGCCCATCGGGATTTTTGAAAGTTGTGCCACCATATAGGCGGCAAACGTGAAGTTGACACTGGTGGCCACCTTGACCACGATAGATGATGTCGTAGGGGCAGATTTTGTTGCCCTCTGTGTATATTGAGATGATGACATCATCCAGATGTGTGATTAATACAGGTTTCATCACCTTCATATTAGTGGGTATGTACACCATTGTATGGACATACCAGACGGGGACGCCAGCCATGTGGAGCTTGTTGCACATGTCACTGTCGTGCATGAAAGCGCCCATCCAGGCTGAATTGACAGTGTTAGCTCTAATGCCGGAGGAGATGCAAGGTTGGGCGATGAGAACCCAATCCATACAGGAGTGAATTTCAAGGAATAGGCATTGGGCATCCATGATGAAGATGAGGAGATTGCAAAAGGTTAGGGAATGTTTTTGAGCCATGAGATACCGTGTCAAAGAGATGCAACACGATTGACGATGACATTGTTCTTGCCTTGTTGATTGGCCCTCCAGTCCTGGACATGCTTGTCTACTATTTTCAGGAGCGATTCCAATCCTTCGACCTTGTCAGAAGCTAGTGTGCCTACAGGAAATGAGTTGCCTGGAATGGCCTTGAAGTCCTTTTGCTCGGGGGTGAACCATGCCCAGTGAAGCGGGTGCGGGAATGGGTAGACTCCTTACAGGGAATACAGACAGAATTGCAAAAGATGTTGTCATAGGCTTGAGGCCATTGAAAGCAGTTGACAACACTGAAACGCCCATCAGCACGTGCTTGTACGTTTTCTTCCTCAAAATGGTGGAACTGAGAAATGAAGTCCATGTTGGGCATGGTGATGACCAAATTTCCCTGGACGGCGACTGTGTAGGCATCGAAAGATTGCAACCACGCTGTAGTATGCATGCGCATAAGTCAGTTGAAACATTAAGTGAGGAGCACCACATACATGCACAAAGGTTCGGATCAGCCTTGAACATCATCAAAGTGTTGGGCATGATGAAAAACTGCAAAGTTTAGGAGGTGCAATAACAGGCACAAGAAAAACACACCTCAAGAGTTTGATTTTGTATTATGAGAGTCCAAGCGCTGTTCAGTATGATGAGTAAAATGTGAAATGATTGGCATACCTGAAAAATCAGAGAAGGTCTGCAGAAGTGTGTGGCGCACCAGAAATAATGAGATACGAGACTAAGCACACCCAAGAGGGTCTTCAACCCCATTGGTGCAGCAATGTGTGAGCGACCGGGGCGACCCTCCAGATACGAAGTCAACTAATCAATGAGCAAACAGCACAAAGCCAGTTCAAATGTGCTGGGGACCTTTGAGGATCAATCACGGTGATGAGGTTGATGAGTTCGATGAGGTTGATGAGTTTAATGTGCTGAGTGACGAAGGACTGCTCAAAGTTGGGAACTGATGGTAAGGAAGGAACTTGAAAGGAACTAGGGGAAGGGAATACAGAGAAGGAAATAGACAAGAAACAAAGTTGTGGGAATTTCCCAAATCACAGTTTCATTTGTCAAAGTTTGTGAACCTGTGGGAAAGTCCCACAATGCAACATGTCACAGTTTTATCCTGGACATGGACCACATTGATAACATTGTCACTCCATCCTCTATACTATTCCTGCCCTCAATGATGCTTTCCCCATCCTTGATTATGCTTTTCCTGTCCTCAATTGATCCTCTAACAGTTTCCGGCACTTTTGAACTGGCTTTGTGCCATTCACTCATTGATTAGTTGACTTCGCGTCGCTGATCTTCCACTCCTAGACTTCGCGTCTGGAGGGTCGCCTTGGTCGCTCACATGTTGCTGTGCCAGTGGGGTTGAAGACCCTCTTGGGTGTGCTTTGCCTTGTAGTTTGTTGTCCTCTTCTTGTGTAGTCTTTATATGAAGTGTTGTGGAATGTTCTGTGTTCTGGATAAATTCATTAGGTTTGTTTCACCCTAGTAGGTCATGTTTCACCCTAGTAGGTCGTGTTTCAACCTATGAAAGTCTGTTTCAACTTTGTCATCCTTAGATTTGTGTCTCACTTTCCATTGAAAGAGAGAGTCTTATGTATACACATAAAGCTTTAGAATGAGAGCTGTTCAATGGTTATATAGTCAACCCCTGTAAGGTAGTATATAACCTAGAGTAGAATAACGATAATGAAAGTTATATAGTCAACCCCTGTAAGGTAGTATACAACTTTAAGATAGAATAATGATGTGTCTTAGTCTTACTTCAAGGCACATTGCCTGCACTTTTATTCTTACGTACTCTCACATGGTTTGAGAGAAGAATGAAAAATGGGAAGTTGACCAAGTATCTGGGCTATCCCTAGTGCCTATTTGTGATCTTTCCCAATCCCATCTGGGATCAATTTAGCATTTCTCCAGGACATCCCTGTGCATCTATTGTATGGGCTTTCCCATCATAAATAAGAGTGACAGGGGTTCATTTTGAAACATTTTGGTACATCGAAATATGCAATTTGTACATTGATTGGAACAAGAAGTGTGCATATCTAACAATTGAACAATAGGATGCCACAATAGCAAAGAGAAGATACCTATGTTTTCTTATTAAAATCACATTAAAAAATTGACATGATGGAATTATACAAAAGTCTACATAGAATTATGGGACATTTTTTAGGCACCCCATAAGGCAAACTAAGGGAGGCAAATTCCCTCAAAATAATAGTATTGGCACAAATATATGGACTGTCCTACTGACCCTCTCTACATCAGCTACTGTATCAATGCAATCAATTTGATGGCCTACTGTGACTATGACCTTGTACACTGATTTTGCAATACCATATTTTTCAACATTTTATCACAGCTATATGAAATGAAATAGAGCTCCAAAAGACTACAGAAAAATATTGTACATTAAAAAATACGAAAGGTTTAAACTCAGAGACATATTTTACGTCTGTTCAGTAGCAACATTATTTCAAGATCATCACTATCCGGGCTCTCCCACCTGGCCTACCATCAGTATCTGGGCTTTCCCATTTGGCTTTTGATCAACATCTGGGCTTTCCCACCTACCATATCATCACCATCTGGGCTCTCCCACCTGACCTTCCATCACCATTTGGGCTTTCCCACCTATGATCACCTTACCATCTGGGCTCTCCCACCTATGATCTCCATACCATCTGGGCTCTCCCGCCTGGCCTTTCATGAGTATCTGGGCTTTCCCACCTATGATCTCCATACCATCTGGGCTCTCCCACCTGGCAATCCATGAGTATCTGGGCTCTCCCACCTGGCCTTTTATGAGTATCTGGCCTTTCCACCCACATGCATATGCAATGAAATAGAGAAGCTTTACTTGTGAGTTAGAAGAGAAAGCAGGGAAACTTCAGCCAAGCAAAATTAATATTTGTGCGGTGAAATGCATATGCAATGAAATGGGGAAGCTTTACTTGTGAGTTAGAAGAGAAAGGGGGGATACTCCAGCCAAGCAAAATCAATGTTTATAGGTATGCGATGAAATGAGGAAGCTTTACTTGTGAGTTAGAAGAGACAGGGGCAATACTCCAGCCAAGCAAAATCAATGTTTATGGGTATGCGATGACATGAGGAAGCTTTACTTGTGAGTTAGAAGAGACAGGGGCAATACTCCAGCCAAGCAAAATCAATGTTTATGGGTATGCGATGAAATGGGGAAGCTTTACTTGTGAGCTAGAAGACAAAGGGGGGACACTCCAGCCAAGGCAAATTATAGTTGAATAGAGCCTCATTATTAAACAGAATACCCATACCCTTTTGGGCCATACATGTGGCAATTGCATCAATGCTGAATAACTTGTTGGTAACAATATGGCATGTTACCTCAGTGTCTTTGCTAGTCATGTGATTCTTGTTCCTCCGGTGTCAAGTATCAGAGAGATGTATTCCATAAGATATAGATAGTCAACACAGTTACTACAATCTTACAGTAACATGTGCATAGCGTCATTAGTATCCCCACCCATCTCAGTCCTGCGGTCGAAATAATTCACAACATCACACCAAGATTCATCCAGGAAACACGTAGTATTGTCAATACAAATACATCCAACCATACTCGAACTCATCGTATAACTGCAATATTACAACATCTCAAACCAAGGCAGCCAGGCATACGACCTACATTGTTCCTAAAATTGGGACACCACAATATGAAGACATGAAAAATTTACCCGCGCAAGAGAACAACTGAAGTGAAGAGAGAAGATGTACACGAAGTCCAACAACTTGAGGCACTAATACGGATAATGAAAGGCAACCAACAGCCATGTTTAGCACAAATGGACAGTGTTATTCTTGCCTAAAGAATGTTAGTAGCGAAACCGCGAAGGCCCATCTTCATGATAAGAGTCACTAGTCCCCCTTACTTGAAATCTCTGACGGTAGTCATCTGCCTGATTGTACCGGCATGAGTAAGCATGATGTTGAGGGTATGGATTATCCTCGCTATCTGCAAAGGGAGATGTCTCATGTTGCCGGTGGGCGGGGCGATAGTACCTTGCACGAGTGGTTTCGTCTCGCTCTCGGTGCACAGGAGGTGACCGCGAGGCTTCACGACGGCGGTTTGGGGCAGCGAAATTCCTGTCCTCGCGAAGAGGGTATGGCTCACGGCTAAGCAATTAAGTTAGCGCGTTGCAACTCATGAAAGTTAAGACATACTCAAAGCCTGTATCAATACGCACAGGAGGTGAACGCGAGGATTCACGATGGCGGTTTGGGGGAGCGAAATTCCTGTCTTCGCGAAGAGGGTAGGGCTCACAGCTAAGCAATTAAGTTAAGACATATTCGAAGTCTGTATCATTATGAGAATGAGTGGGACGCTCCTCCATGTGCCGTGCCAATGAAGGGTCAGCCTGCAGAAGATTAACGTTGGAGGGAAGACGGAATAATACTGTATTTACCTGGGAAATTTTCTTCGCCTTGAACGGCAAGTTAGTCTGTCGTCTTCCACCACCAAGTTCTTCTCTCCTTGTAGGCAGAATAGGGTGGGATTCAGGATCAAAGAGATCTGGCACCCGAGTAGGATCGCCTCCCTCTTGGCGATGTACTGGCGTGGTACTTCTAGCAGTGACGTTGATTGGATGGTAAGGTCAGGGGGCTCAAAGTGACGGGAGATTGATTATCACTTGGCAGCGTTTCTTGAGGAGAGGGAACAGGAGCATCGGAATGTGCTTTGTGAGCGGCCAACACATCTTCAGGGATAGACGCCTTGAACTTCAGTGGAGTCGACCAGCTTGCACAGCACAACATCCAGGATGCTAGTCACCAAGGGAATGTCAAACATCTCTGACGCCTCGTCCTTGAGCTGCTTGAGACACTCTTACACAATTTATATCAGAACAGGAATGTGTAATGATAAAACAAAGATTACATACCATCTGACCAAGCTGTGAACTCGATCTCAGGTACATTGACATCTAATTCATCTATGACGTCTTCCACGGTGCGCTCCCGACCTCGGTGCTTGCCCTTGGACTTCTTTTTCTCGATCTCTAACAAGTTCTCAGCTTCGGCCCAGAGTTCAGCTTCATAATAGGAATGTGCTTTGCGCTTGATGAAAGGGACAACGAGCAGCTTGAGATGCTGTGAACTAAGGTTGTGAGGGTTGAAATCGGGACCGATGGGGGAAACATCGTCAGGCCAGTTCTTGATCATGAACTTATACTGGAAGGCATAGTCAAGGAGCTTCCGCCACTGAACTGCTTTGGGTCGATACCCAAACTTCGCTATTTAAGCAGACACCGGTCAATCGTTGAATGTGCACAAGCCTGGGCACTTACAAGTGTTCTCAAGTACCATAATTGGCCATATCCTTCTGTAATGGTCACGGGGAGCCTTGTTTGGCTTTGAAAGTAGAATCTCATAGGCCCCTACTCCCCCCATAAACTGCGGTACGGATATATTGTAGCCTTTTGCTCTGTGGACAAGTCAGGAGGCAGAAAAAGTTCAGAAGAATAAGACATACTTCGTTGCGGTTACAACCCAATCTAATATTGCGCGAGTGTCCAGTTGATGCTCATTGATCAACTTGACTATGAAGTCGGAGCCTGCAACAAAGCCGGAAGCCTGTCGAGCAGCCTCGTCTTGTGTTGTATCGAATATACAGCCGATAGCTTCTACTCCTTCGAGACAAGAATATGCAGACAACTATATCGAGTCACTAGTTATAACCTAGAATGTGCACATGAGGTAGATGTACCTTTCTTGCGATATCCTCCCTCATTGACAAGATGGTCTTGGCACGTGATTGTTTGGTATTGCCGCCAGTAATACTATAGTTGCGAATTGTGTCCCACTGTTCACTCTCCTTGGCCATTGCATGATAATGTTTGCATTGGTGTTCTTTCCAGTCAACGATGGCTGAGACTCTCGAGTTAGCATCATGTACACCACGGAAATGGGGACTGACATTCTTTGTCCTCGTGAGAGTGATTATCCATGAACCAGCATTGGTGGGTGTTCCAATCAGACTCTGATCGTGAATGCTTGATGGACAGGCCAGCCTCAATGAGAATACTGCGCATGGACTTGCCGTATTTGACACCAATGACCCGAGCTTCTTCAGCTGTTTGCTGTCCAAGCTCCTGAGCCTCATCGATGCCCTCCTGACATAGCTGGCCTCGCTTTAAATGGCCTGGGAGTTCTTCTTCATTCTCACTGGCGCTGTTGTCTGATGTAGGGCCAAAAACTATACTAGCTGGAGTGGGGTTGTCACTTGAACGTGACGTATGAGCATGCTTGGTGCGAATGGTTGTCGAGCGAATTGCGTTCTGAGAAGTGTTGGCCGAGGTATTTTTGACTAGCGAAGACGTCTTCCTGCGCTTAGGAGGCGGCGACGATAGACTGTGGTGATCGTTGTTGTGATCGTGCTCCAGGTCTTCATCTGCATCTGACTCGTGGGCATAAGCTTGATTAGATGTGGCGGGGTCTTCACGATTTGCCTGGGAAGAAGTATAGCTACTATCCGATGAAGAGGTCCGAGAACCATCATTGAAATTGTAGTGGGCCTTGAACTTTCAGGGGCCTGAAGTCTCCTTGCTACAATAGAACAGATAACTATCAGCCCTCCCCACCAAGAGAAAGATTAGACAGTACATATCTGGCGAAGTCTTTGCACATTCGAGGTCTTCGTTATTCTCGTCATGCTCAGATCCCTCATCGGTGTCCTTGGCGTCGTTGTCATTGTGACTATCACCTTCTACATCGTCTTCGTGGTCACAACCATCAGCCTTCGCAGCCGGTGATTAAACCAGATATAACATACCTAGTGGTGTCTTTGCACGTACGGAGTCCTCAACATCCCCATCATGGTCTTCGTTAGACTGGCCGTATTCATGGTCTTCGTGACCATTATCGTCATGGACATCGTCGTCACTAACGCCGTCCATGTCATGATCTTCATCCATGCGAGAGTCCACAGCCAGCAGGTCATCGTCGGTGTCAGATGCGTCTATGAAAGAGGTAAGTGTACTTATTTTAGTGAAGAGTGGATCATTACCTGGAGCACCGTCGCTTTGCAACTGGATGGAAGAGACTGAGCCCGCTGAAGAATTTACATTTTGCCTGCGAGGGCGAGCAAGGATCTGAGCGTAGTCATCGAATGACATGCTTGAGGAATGTCAGGGTAGAGGGCGAGGTTTTGGGCGGGCAGGGTCATCCGGAACAGGAGAGGGTTGAAGGATACCGCTTCTTTTTCGTTTATTAATCTGCTTGGTTGGGGGGTTGATAGCAACACCACTGCGTGTGTGCATGACATAGCTGCTGGACACTATGGGGACTTGATTGCCAGTATTAGTTGCACTACGATGGGCTGCATTTCTGGTGGAGGGTGCCATTAAAACGTAGACGGACTTGATATTGGGAAAAGCTGTGCTTTTAATACGAATGTTAAAAGCAAGCAGCTTGTAAAACACAAAGTCTCACAGCAATTTTTCAAGACTCGAAGTCTTGAGAGTACGATGGAAGAGTACAGGAGACTGAGCTGATTGCGAGTCAGAAGAAGAAAGATTATTGGCAGAAAAACACGAACATCGGGAATTTTAACTGATCGTAAGGCGCTCAATAAACATCGAGAACGAAACAAACTCAATAGCTATAATCCGCCCAATCGACACTGAAACAAAAAGAGTTACATTGAAACAACGTCATTAGAGTACTCAGTAATGCAATATTCACCGCAAAGGATCACTACTAACTTATTGCGGAAGGTTCACATTAACCAAGCTTCGAAGCTTACGCAAACGAGAGTCCAAATGGGTGAGGGGGAAAGATGAGAATCTTTGGTGAATGAACGTGGCGGTACTAAACTTCTTTAATGTATGATTGTCGCTATGGCGCAACTAGAGAGGATGAATGGATATGGGCGAAGTAACGAGTTCGGTGTTTGAGCTGTATTAAGGTAGGTAGGACCATCTGACTCGTAGTCAGACAGCCAGGTAGTGCTGGATGATGCGAAGTCACCCAGGTAAAGTGTGTCTGCCTCGAAGGCAGACTATGCGATGAGGCCAGGTGTTGAGGTACAGATGGAGGCAAACACTGAGGTAGTGATGGGGGTAAACGATGAGGATGTGATGAGTAGATAATGGGCGACAAGTTCCATACTAAGTAGGAATTAGTATTAAGATTGTCAAAAAGCTAGCGTGAAGAAGATCAGACTTACTTGAGTTCACCTTCTCCACTTCCCAAACAAGTATAGTTAGCGGGTCCCACCTTTTGCATAGCCCGACCATTGATTATCTGTTGTAAGAAGAATTTGCCAACTAGAATAACACAAGATGGGGGGAGGACGTACTGATCAGTAGTTAGAATACAAAGTACCCGACGAGTTCGAAATTCCTGTAAACAATAAATTATAATCAAACCAGTTAGACACGCACCTGAAAGGATGGATGGATATGAGTGAAGTAACGAGTTCGGTGTTTGAGCTGTATTGAGGTAGGTAGGACCATCTGACTCGTAGTCAGACAGCCAGGTAGTGCTGGATGACGCGAAGTCACCCAGGTAAAGTGTGTCTGCCTCGAAGGCAGACTAGGCGATGAGGCAAGGTGTTGAGGTACAGATGGGGGCAAACGCTGAGGTAGTGATGGGGGTAAACGATGAGGATGTGATGAGTGTATTATGGGCGACAGGTTCCATAATTAGTATTAAGATTGTCAAAATTGGAAGTTGAAACACGGGCTTTCCCAGGCCTTGACCTGGGCTTTTCCGGACTGGGCACAGGCTTTCCCACAGTGATTCGAAGCGTGGACTTCACACTTTAATCCCCAACCTCCTTTTCCTCATCGTTCACCTCGCTCACTACCCAACTTAGCTTCATCCCCCATCACGGTTCGCGCCCCCCGACCTCTATAGTCTACCTTCGTGGTAGATGCACCGTGAGCAGTAACTTCGTGTTGCTTGCTGCGATCGATTGCTTAAACTTCGGTCGGCAGTCTCGTCTTCCACCGGCAATATCTTGTCCTCCACTGGCAGTATCTCGCTTCCACCACCAGCATTGTTTTCTACAGCAAGAATTGTCTTCCACAACCAGCATTGTTTTCCACACCCAGAACTGTCTTAAGCCGTCAGAATTCTTTTCAACCGCGCAATTGTCTTTGACCGCCTGAACTATCCTCAGCCGCCTGAACTATCTCCAACTTTCTGTCTCACAACTTTCTGTCTCACTTGACTGATCCTTTAATGCTCTTACTGACATCCAGAATTTGTTTAAGACTGCTGTCGGCTTTTGTGGGTAAGCACATTCATTCTATTTCATCACCATATCATGACATCATCTATCCTCTAACTAGAATCTCAACTTCGCTCAAGAATCCCGTCTTCCTTCATTGTAAGCTTATTCATTATATTTGTTCGTGCTATACTTACTGACATCACGCCTTCATTAGATTTCTCTTCAATCTCTCAACACCATCTCACTATCTGCCTTCGTGGTAGCATTTAAATCATCAGTGACTTCGAGTCGTTGTGTGATTTAAATTTCATTCCTTAGTGACTTCGAGTTGCTGTGTGATTCCCTATCCTCAGTATCGCTGTTCCTGGAGCTCCCGTCATGTCGATCCCTGTGTTCAAACCATTCACGCATTTTGGCGACTGTGTGTTTTGGCATCTTTGTACTTCTACTGTCCTTGACTGATTATGTCCAGGTTATCTCACAGCTACCGATGCCTTCTGTGTGGCTACATATGGCCACCGAGTCATCACCACTCCTAACATGAAGTTCATTCCTCAACCTTTCGACAACGAATCCGATATAATTCAAGTGCGGGCAGATGGCAGATATTGGGCCATGGATCCTTTTCAGTGGCCACAGATGTACAATGACCTGTACGCTCGAAGTTTCGCAATCCCACGCCGGGAAGCCTATCTGGACGACGCAAGCATGACATATGCGTGGTTCAGGGCAAATTTCTCAAGCGACTTCGTGCCCCTGGCTGCGGGTAGTCTTTTTGGTCAGCTCAAGACGGACATTCTCGGCCATCTCAAGCGATTGTACGAGAAGGCCAACAAGTGGGTTAGCAGCTACAAGATCGCAAGGATGCATAAAGAGGATCATGTTGTTGGGTGGGTGCATGTGATGCATGCCGTCTATGAGCACTTCCAGCAAGCTATGGCCTGGCGCGACATTGTCATTGTCGTTGCTGAATATCAGCGCCGATTTCTTGATATCTGGGCGGTTCTAGACTCTACGAAGTAATCGAGCCCCGCATGCGATTCGTCGACACTACCCATAAGGTTGACCCTAAATGGATGGGGTGTTTCACTCAAGACGTCGCTATCGCCACAAAGGTACATGCTGCTGGAGTTCCTGTCTGGCTTATTCGCGATGCTAGACTCATCCCCTCAAATATGAACATTGTTAAAGTTGTCTCGTTCACACCACCCGATGACCTTGTCATCGGCATGTATCATGATCCCCTCAAACTCTTTGCTCAGCCCTTCAACATCATTGCTAGAGGTCCGAGTAATTGCCAGCATCATGAGGCCGCGCGTCAGCCGTATTCCAACTTTGAGAAGTTGCCCGCTCCAAAACCTCAAGTTGAATTGGTCATGACGGAGTCATTGGTAGGAAAGGCTCCCGTACACAAAGGGAAGGCGAAAATGAAAGTAAAGCTTGCGCCGTGTATGTTCAGCCGTCTTCTTTCATGGCTGCCGTGTCTAATTTATTCCTCAGACAATATAACCGCTCCTCGTCAGAACAAAGCTGCATCTGGCTGCGATAAATGGTCTAACATAGATCACCCTTACATGCCACCTATGAATTCTTTCTTCAAGATAGCTTTGGAGGAAGCCAAGAAAGAATTCCTCCGCATCAAGCATCCCAGGGACCAAATGGACGACGGTTACTCGCTTCCCGATCCGGGATTGTTCGTCAATGTTCTTTCCCCGCAATCATTGATGAAGTAC